ACATAAATTCCTGCAAATGTACTTCATTGACGATGACACTGACAAATTGAATGCCCGATGTGGGATTTGCACTGGTAAAAAAAAAACGGGTCATCGTTTCTCAACTGCAAAAGTATGTGACTAAAGGCACAAAAGTGGCCGTTTTGGCCCGCAGTTCGAAAGGATAGGAAGGAATACGAGCACGCAACTCGATGAAATCGCACAGTTTCGGGCGGGAAAATATGTCAGCAGCAACGAAACGGCCAATTCTTTCCTTTTCACAAACATGAACAACAGGCATCTAGACCTTCCTTCGGCCTATAAAGTCTTACGCCACTACATACACCGTGACGAAGACAAGGCAATCATACGGAGCCCAAGAATGCCGAGCAAACACGGCCTGTCGACGACTTCACCCAAAAGGGGAACGCAAACGCAACTAACCCCAACTTTTCTGAAAACGGTAGTTTGTAATTGTCCAGTTGCACACCTACGCACAACGACGTCGAGGAAGGGAAGTTGGTTGTCTGTTTCGGCTTCCATCGCGAATTGGATATTCTGGTCAACCGAGTTCAGTTATTCTTTAAGGTGCTCCACGTCAGATGATTTGACGATGGCGAAGGTGTCATCGACGTAACGAGCCCAGAACTTTGGTTGATACTTGGTGAACACCAAATGTTCTATCCGTTGAAGACCGACTTCAGCAATCAGCCCTGATATGGGGGAGCCCATAGGGGTGCCTTTGATTTGTTCATACATTTGTCCACCAAAGGTGAAATATGTTTTTCGGCAATAGCGTAAGAGCTCCATGAGATGTTCATTCTTCAGGGCATTGTCTCTCTCGTTGTAGCGATCAGCCAGGAGTTGTCTCACAACGTCAATCGCTAGTTGTTGCGGAATGGAGGTAAAGAGTGAAACGACATCAAACGATACCATGGATTCATCTGGCCACCAACACTCACAGGTGACGACCGGTAGGCTAAGGCAGCGAAAGAAGAAAAAAATCGATCAGCCCAGGGCCAACTAATGCGGCAGTCTATTCAAAAATGCTGATCGATTTTTTCACTTGACGCTTTGACAATGGAGAGCAGCCCCAGCTCTTCGAAACGTCAGCCAGAAAAGTTCCCCGATCCGGTGAGCAATTCATTCTCCTCAGACTGCTGTATTTGGAAGTGCCTACGTATTACACATGGAATGCGTGTAGAAAATCTTTCGAAAGACGCGAAGGAGGGGAGCGAGTCGACGGAACAACTTGGCATACTCAAAGGAACTGTGAAAAGCAGACCGTGCATCTCAATCAGGACGAATGCTTCTTACTTCGCACGCTGTTGGTAAATGTGATCGGTTCAACGTCCTTCCAGCAATTGAGAATAGTCAACGGCGTTACACATGCCACTTTCCTCAATGCATGTCAGGCTATCAATTTGCTGGAAAACGACCGACACTGGGATGTATGTATTAATTGCGCGTGCAACACGTCCCATCCCCATCAAATTCGCGCAGTGTTTGCAATCACACTGACCGTCTGCTCTCCTTCATCTCCAACGGGCTAATAGGAGAAATATAAATCACACATGACTCAAGATATCTTCCGTTGACCATCTAGGAAAAATTCAAATGTGGATTTCAAGGCAGAAATCGACAACGAGGCGTTAGTAATGATTGCGGACATGTACGTACAAATCAAGAACAAAGTTCTTAATCAACTGGTAATGTCATCGCCAAACCGAACTGCTGCTGTTTCGTTAGATGTAGATTTGCGCCATGAGAAAAACCCCAACAGGGTTGATCGTCTGTCGTATCTGCAATCAAAGCTAATACTGGAGCAGAGTGGCATTAGCGATCAAATAATGTGGACTGTCAATAACGGGGTTGGAGGCATCTTCTTCCCAGCTGCACCAGGGGGGACTGGCATAACTTTCCTACTACTGACTGATTCTGACGGCAATTCGATCCAAACAATGACATAGCTTTAGCTGTCCGTCGGAGGAACTGCTCATTCCGCTTTGAAACTGCCGCTGAACGTACAATTCATTGGCACTCCCAATTGCATCATTTCTGAGGCACCCGGAGTGGGAGACGTACTGTAGAGATGCAAATTTATTGTTTGAGATGAATGCACAATGGCGCGCAAAAAACGCTCGAGGTCCCTAATCGATCATGGCAAGTTTGCGTCGAAATAGCAGACCATTTAGAAACGCATTGTTACTGTTTGCAGGAGACTTCAGGCAAACACTGCCTGTAATTCCTCGATGGACACCGGCGGACGCAATAAATGTCCACCCGAAATACCCTACTTTGTAGCGCCACGTCCAGACTGTAAAATTAACTAAAAATATTTGAAGACTCTCAACTAGCAACACACGTTGGAGAAACGGGGCATACTTTTGACCTCCAGAGGGCTATCATCTTAGGCCGAGGCAACACAAAAACAGAACGGCTAACTCTCGAGGCGTGGTTCTCTGATGCCCACTCTATCAACAGGCATCTGGACCTTCCTGCAGCTTACAAAGTCCTACGTCATCACAACCGTAGAGCTCAGGACCAAACAACCACACCGGACTTAAGAAAGCCGCACGGAGATAGCCCGACGCTGAGTTTACTCGGTGAGGAAGAAGAAGAACCGCCAGACCGACCGCCCGACCAAAGTCCAATCAGTTCCCCTCGACGGAGTGGTGACTCACAAAGCATACAGGCAAAACGCCCGTCAACCATCTCCCGAGAGGCCGAGGCAGCGAGAGGAGGGAAAAATCGATCAGCATGAGGCCGGCCAACACGACTGCCACTTCAAATTAAATTTCTGATCGATTAAGTTCATTTTACGCTCTGACAATGAAGAGCCGACCCAGCTCTTTGAAACGTCAGCACTTAAATAAACCTCTTCCGGAGAGCCTGTCTTCGTCTTCAATTAATCAACTCGGATATCTCAACTTTGCCAATCTGAACTAAAAATATGCGTGCCCAGCTGCAAAACGACCGATCAGTTGAGACATTCCCACACCAATTACTGGCAGCTGGGAACGGAACGGTGCCGGTTGATCCTAATTCAGGACGCATTAACTACATCTTACCTTCGGCAATTTAGTGTCTTCAGAAGAAGAAGTGGTTGGAAAGGTATTTCCCAAAATGCAAACCAATTATACAAATCACGATTGGTTGAGCGGACGAACTATTCTTGCGGCCAAGAACAAAGATGCTTACCTGTTTAACTATTTAATTCAGTCTACGAGTCAAAGCGAGGCCGTCACATACATGTCCGTCAGCACTGTTGTGGAAGCAGACGGGGCATTTAATTAACCAACAGAACCGTCAACAAAGCTCAGGGTCAGTACTTAGAATTGTGCAGTTTGGATCTGCAAGCGGATTGCTCCTCACCTGACCAACTATATGTTGCGTGCTCCACAGTCGGCAAACCAGACAATCTGTATACCTGTGCAGACAACGAGACGACAGAAAATATTGTATACCCACAAGAACTATGAAATTAAACATATTCGAAACGCGCTCCCTCCCTCTTTTTTCCTCTCCATATTATCACACTGAGCCACAGCAAAGCGTGGCTGGGTCCAGCTAGTATGTTAATATTGATTGATTCACCGTGTTCCAACAAGGGTACTTCCCAATGGCTGCGATACCTGTTTACGGTTCCATGTCTTTGCATGTCGCAAGCGAGATATTCTCTCGTCGTTTCGAATGTTTCGTGGCATGTGGTCCGACGTTCTTTGGTTAGTTTTAAATTAATTTATAAGCTTAGAGTAAATGCGTAGGTTTCGACACGACTGGTCGTTTCACCTTTGTCCAGGTCATATGAACGGAGTGGTGCTGTAAAGGCTCTCTCCAATAGAGGGACAATACAAAACCAGTCTCGTTCCCAAGATGTTTAAGGGTTACAATGTCCCCTTTTGAGCCTTAAAAGGAAGAAAGTTATGCGGACATTAAGTCCGATATTAAGGATTATATGAATTAATTGTGATACATGATACAGTTGGTTATGGCAGATGCTGTCTAGGTTTATCAGTAGAGTATATAGTTGAATGGTTAAGGACAGATAAGATGAGATTTAAAAGCGTATAAATTTGCATGGAGTTCGTATATTATGTTGGGGTAGGTCGAGGTTACTGAAAATGAAGTTTTATTTCGACAGAAACCTTGATTCATGCAAACAAATGTAGCAGTAACATATGGATGTACGAGGTTTTGGGCAAAATGAATCGGAAGAAGTGTTGACGACCACACGTTCCTTTTAATAAATTTCCCCAGGCCAGCGCAATTATATGGAGACGGGGTACAGTAAAACACGTCAGCGACTGGAAAATCGATAACAGTTATTTTTAAATCACAGGCAGGGCGAGAACATAAGGCCGCAGATAGTTGCATGTGACTAGTCAACCATCGACCACGGTAAGCGTCGTGTCTGAACTTTGTTTTTCTGAGTGTATAGGGTCGCTTTTCGGCAAAGCTTTTCGCGTGACTTATAAGGTCCCCTCGAGCTATCCTATGCTACTCGGGCAGCGTCTGTTAGCAACAGCAGAAGCGTCCGCAGTTAGGTTAACAAAAGCGGCCCTATGCGCCCAAAAGAACCTCGCTCATGCTCCGCACTTGCCGTGGTCAAAAGTTGACTAATCACATGCAACTTTCCATTCTCGTCTCGCCTTTGTTTCAAAACCAACTTTTCCAATCTCTGACATGGTTGACTACACCTCGTTACTCTATAACTGTACTGGCCTGAGGTGAATTTATCGAAAGCAACGTACGCTGGCCAACTCGTCTGCTGAAAATGAATCGGGTAAACTGTATCACACACGCAAGCTGCTCAATGGTGGGAACACTTCTTCTAAAAGACCAGGTGACGTGGGTTTGGACGATTGGCAATGCGACCTCGCCTCAGTGTGAACCTTCTCATCAAATGTGACATTCCAGCATGTCTTATGGGTCTGCATCTTTGACGCGGACCACACACCTTGCGCGTGATAACCTGCAGCCAGGTCCTTCCTGGCAGACCTAAGAAAAGACTTCCGGAATGTTTGCGCAAGCACGGGCATTTCTGCGCTTACTACCTCCAGATGACGCGATGCGTGACATCCCTATGGCCCTAATCTTAGCGCCCGGTTAGGCCCTCCAGGGCAGTGTATCCTTGGCGTGACCTCAGTAGACAACTAATAGGATGCCTAGGAGTGTAATTAATCTTATCCTTACAGGGGCACAGACGGGGGGAGGGAGAGAGAGGTGTGTTGTGACACTCAATGATCCCTGGCGAACGACCTCACTCCATTCATTGCTTTTTTAAGGAGGGTGGGCGGGACTTTTCTGCAAGAACTCCGGCAGCAGATAAAACCCAGGCCACTGCTCGGGTCCGTTTGCGAACTACTGGACAGGTTTCTAAAGGTGCGGGCGCAGGCAGGGGTCACAGACATAAGGGAACTTTAGCGCCTGCTAAATGACAGTCATGACATTTGCCTCATGGACAGTTGCTGTTAGTATGGTATCACCTTACCGTATATTACTAGCTGCCTGTCGGCAGTTGATGAATATTACGCGGTTACCCGCTGTGGCTGATGGACTTTTACCCAAATATTTATACATAAAAATTTCGGTCTGTGTCTATAGACTTTGACTAAACTGATCTTCTCCAACTTCGTAGATAATTTCTGAGGAAATTAAAAGGTGACAGGACAAACTATTGTTAATCAGAGGCAGACAAACAAATTAGCTGATTATCTACCATCATTGGTGTTGGGTTTGACAGAAGGCAGGAAGTGAAATAGCAACCTGACAATGGCACCCTTAGATCGGCCAATTCCTCAACTTGTTGATGGACGAGGAGTTCTGGACTGAATCTGGCTCATCTATTTGGCGGTAACACCCACACAGATGCAATCAGTTTTCGTCCGTCGGTAGTCCAGCTCATCTTATGACATCCGGAAGTATTGTACAAATTCGTTGACCGTGGTAACATGGCAGTTCGATCGTTGTTACCGACAATGCCCATCGTGTGCCCGCGGCCGGTTGAGTGCAGGGACGGTGGCATGCGTGGGAGGTATTCAGCAGGGATAGTAGACTTGCGCAGCATCTATCGCATTCTCGCCTCCCTCATTCGTCTGAGTCTGATGCCAAGACAGGATCGGACGCAATAGTTGGCAGAACTTAACAGGATGTCTGCGCGTGCGGCATATACGCACCTATTTCGCGGACGATATACCAGGGATACAGAAAACAAGGATGGCACGAACCCCCAGCCGAGTGGATGTTCCATAGAAGCCACATTAAGGAGTCACTGAAGCCTGAATTTCCATCCTGAGGGGAGAACCGAGCTATTTCGTTCGTTGCCATTCATGTAGGCCGCGGCGTTTAGCCCACTGTGATAGTTTAAAAGCGCGTCAGATTTTTTTTTCTAGCAACGAATATACACTGAGTACCGTTGGGTCGAAATGCCTAGAAACAACCCCATTCTCTTTACCCTCTGTCAGGAAGCAGTGCACCTATTCTACTAACGCTGACTTATTTGAAGTTACCTGATGATCTTCCTAAACAATTTTCCATTTCTGGTTAAAGAGTTTTGGCTTATTTACTGCAGAGAGACTAGTCATTACTAGCACAATTAAATGACCAGTTGAATTTTGTGAACTGGCGGCTCGACATTCTGCATGCTTTTTCTGATGTGCGTCAGTCTAAATTGTGTTCGTAAAAGCTGGATGGGCACTTAAGTCAAGGAACGTTAGTCCCGCTCACGTCCTCAAAGTGCGCGATAAAAGTGGAAATCGCAGCCCCCCATCAGAATACTTTTACGACGTAGATGTTAAAACTATGCCGCCTATGATCACAGGGCGGACAGCATAGAGGGCATTTTGAGGACCAGTTTGGTTGCAAAACAGGACACCGAATGCCGATTTGATTGGGCGTACATTCAAGGGGATTGGCTGATACATCGAGTAGGTCTCGAAACGTAATTTAGTGTGCTGACTGCTGCCATCAAAGCTGCGCGGGATGAACAGGACTCCCGGCCTTCAAGGAATCCGCAAAGTTCCCGCCGATAGTGAATCAAGCGCAGGCTGAGCAACCGCAGTCAGAGAAATGTGAAACTGTACTGCATGTGCCAGTCCGTGTCTCCTTGTCCTCCCCCGTTTTGTCTCGCTGCCTTACTGTCCGCCTCACACTCCTTGTTGATATGCTGTTGGGACGCGGAAGGCTGGTCATTAGTCTCGCGAGTGCTCGAAGCCAATCAACGCTGTCCCTCCTCTGATTGGCTGGCGGACGCTGAGACAACGAATGGCGCACGCACACGCTCGGTCTCAGCACCTCGAAGGCGGACACAGACAATCACAATGTTAGGGGGCGCTCACTGATCATTCTTACGGAACTCACTCGTTCCGTTGTGCCTTACGGCGCATGATCTAGGCAGTAGGATGGCATTACTGACAAAGGCAAGGGAGACTGGAATGACCATTTCTGGCTCATTAGCCGTCGTCAGCCAGTCATACTCAACCCCGAAGTGTGGAACACCCGAGGCTCGAACTCGCGACCTGTTAGTTAGAAGTCCACGCGTCTAACTATGGGGCCACGAGCCCTTTGCCCTGTCGGTTTCGATCGGGAATAAACAATGGTAGGGGTCACTCACCGATTATTCTTGCAGAATTCACTCGTTCTGTTGTGCTTTACGGGCTCTCTCTCTCGAGCCCAACCAGCAGCCGCACGATATAGGTAGTATATTATTACCGACAAAGACAAGGGAGACTGGGCAACGGGCTCGTGGCCCAGTGGTTAGAGGCGTGGACTTCTGACCAACAGGTCGCGGGTTCGAGCCTCGGATGTTCCACACTTCGGGCTTGATTATGACTGGCTGACGACGGCTAATAAGCCAGAACTGGCCATCTCAGTCTCCCTTGTCTTTGTCACTCATAACATACAGATAACACAACTCGTCTGGAGAGCGCGTTCGCGTCGAGTGCTTGCGGTGCCTTTATGCACGCACTTCCTCAGCAGTAAAGGTTGTCCAGTCTTGCCGACCACGTGCACCTGGACACTGAAAAAGTCCAGGTAGCTTAACTGGTTTCCGACACGCGAGTCCCCTTTGTAGCCTGCACAACAGTGGATGCTTCTAAGGTAGATCACAGGGGTACAGAACTCCCCTATTACAGGTGGCGTTGCGCATAATTGTGGGGGTTAGGGTTGGGGTTATTGCCATGGTCAGTCGGGATGGGATTACTAGGATTGGGCTTAGGATGGTTAACGTTATAACACGCTAATAAGACACCCCCTGCCTGGAATTTAGCGCAATAAAACCTGTTATACCTGGCCTGCTTCCTCCTCCTCCTCCTCCTCCTCCTCCTCCTTCTTCTTCTTCTTCTTCTTCTTCTTCTTCCTCGTCGTCGTCTTCTTCTCCTCCTCCTCTTCAATGAGAAGGAAACAACTTGAATCCCAGGTTAGCAAATGTGGGAAATCCAGGCCCATATTCTAAGAAATACGAAGGGCTCACCGGATCAGGGGAATTGAGTGACTGGCGTTTCGGACGGCTTGTTTAGGAAATCGACCAGAATTTTGAACAATCGGCCGAATCAGTTGGCCTTGGGCCGGGGGATTTTCTTCTTTCGCTGCCTTGGCCTTCTGGTCGTTGTTTGTGAATGTAGGCGGCCTCCTGTGTTGCGTGCCGGCGCCCCGATGGGGGGTCGGTTGCGCCTTCGAATGAACTGGTCGACGTGCGCAATCAGCTGACTGGGATATAGGTAGAGAAGCCATGAGGTAATTGGTGCATTTGTATCGGCTTTTTGGTCTGTACAAGCGCCCACTGTAGGGGGATTAACGGAAAAGACTAACAGAACGCGCACTGCGGACGGCAGACTCACATGCCAACGGCCGGTCCTGTGTGGTTTATCAGATTACACGTCGCAAGAGGTCCTGCAATTATACAGGTCTCAAAGGTAACTAGTGGTGCAGGGGTGGGGGGACTCAATTTTCTCGATCGCTGCCCACACCCTGCAATTAAGTTTAGAATTTATCCTCACGTGCACAGTGGTGCGGGCTGGAAGCAAGACAGATAGAGGACGTTCAGAAATCGGGACCTCCGGTCTGGTGAACAGGTCTCCAACCCCTTCATTATGTCCTACCCAGTCGAGACTGGACAGAGAGACCTAACGCCTAGTAAGGACAAAAGCAGTCCATCCGTTAGTTTGTTTTCGTAAACTCTGACGACGGCCATGAGGACCGAGTCTTAACGTGCTATCTTCGGCAAAGGATGTTTCCAAAACTATCACCAGAGGTTACGGAGATTGAACTAGCTACCTGTGACGTTTTTACCACTGTCGGTTTGCCCTATAAATAGTTGAATCGCAGCATAAAAGGCAAAAGTTGATGCGTACATTCCACCCAGCGACACCTCTTTCGTATACAGTCGTCTTATAAGTAGTTTAGACTGCATATACACCTCGATTCTTTACCCTAGCGAATAATTTACACGGATAGGTTAACAGCGGACGAAACCCCAACGTCTAGACCATGCAGCTGCAGCATATTTGCTTGTCATGTGCAGATAAAGGAATCTTTTCGGTCCAGATACTTTGTTTGCACTGACTTATGTCGTTGTACTACACATCCATTCCATCTGAGTGACTCGCGCAAGGATTTCCGGCCAGGCGGATGTGGCACCCCGCAGCCCAAATAAAGTAGCGCTAGCAAGGGACTCTGATGTCCATATTTTACCCCACAGAAGAGTTTGTCTTACGTTAGTGACTGTCGCAGGTCATAGAGGTTGATTTTCTACAAGTATTAATCAGTTTTCTGGACGGCTTCTCTGGCCATTTGTGACGACAGCCAGAGACTTGGGATTATGGTTGGTGTTTGGGTTCATGTTAGGTTTAGGGCTTGCCCCTAAATCGCACCAGAGGATAGATTCGTTGGGCCAATTTGGAGATAGGAGTCTTGCAAGCGTTATCGGGGATGTGTACCCATAAAAAGTGCCAACACTAGGGCGTGGCGGTACGGCAGCCCTTTGCCATATTTTTATACAATAATTTTTATTGTTATTCTACTTGTTACGCATTGCCTAAACTGGCATTTATTCACTGTTGTTTAAATTGGTTTTTTACGTAACGGCTACGCGGACACTCCAGCTGGTGTGAGTTTCGGTTTCACTAACTGACTTTTCACCCATTGCCCTTGTTCTTCACTGGGTGACTCTGACAGTTACAGCAGGTGGGCTAACTCATGAACTGTCAACCGAAATTCCGAAATGAGTTTTCGTTTCGAAAAAATTAATTAAGTAGTGTTGTAAAACCAATCATCGTGCGGTATAATTCTGCAATAGGTCGGTTACCTCAGGATGCCGGCTTCTGAATGAGCATGCATTTTTCTCACTGATTTTCGATGTCCTTAAAAACTCAATTATAGTTCATGAAAAACGTGCATAAAATATTCATTTTTTGCTCATTCGGTTGAAAAAGAAGGAGGGGTATAATTCAGTTTATAAAAAGTTTCTAATTGTGAGATTTTTTAATACGGTGAAGTGGTCGTTCATAAAACATCATGTCTCTGCACTTACCAAAGGAACCACTAGCAAATTTTATAAATCTCATATTGACTGTTTTTAATACCGTTGAGAAATATATGGTTTTTCATACGTGGAAAATATACGGCTTGAAGTCTGGAAACCCTGAATGCAAGTGTAACAACAGGCCGGGTTCAAATTTCTTAGGAATTAGAAGAGTTTTTGAAAATATAATTAGACCCTTCCTTCGAGTACAGCATAGGAGGATGACGTAATTTTCTACCATGAAAAGTTGTATGCATGTTTTCCATGAAATATAATTGAGTTTTTAAGGACATGGAAAATCAATGAGAAAAATGCATGCTATATATGCAGCCATTTTTGCAGAGTGTGGTTTTTGCATGCTGCCGGAAAGGAGTTCATTCAGCAACCGGCATCCTGAGGTAACCGAACTACTACAGAATCATTCCGCATGATGATTACTTTTACAACACTACTAAATTAATCTTTTCGAAACGAAAACGCATTTCGGAGTTTCGGTTGACATTTCATGAGTTAGCCCACCCACTGTAAGTCCGTTCTGGCGTGGTCGTTTCGCTTGGCTTTTCTAGACTTGGCATCAGCGTGGGAGCGCGTTATCGATTGACTAGACCCGCTAAAGTGTCACGCCCAGTTGCAAACCAACGCGGCGCTAACTGAGATTCTTGCCGTTGCCCCCACCCCCGCCTTCCTTCTTGCTGTGCAAAGTCTTGGTCATTGTACGTTGCGGACCGCAGGTATGATGGCACGCGTAAGCGCGGGCTCAGTCTTGCCAACCATCTGCCCCCTCCAGGCCTCGGCTTTCTTGA